TTTAAATAAAATGATTATTAAAAATAAAATGTCTAGGATATATAAGATAATTGATTACTCGCGGTGATAAACATAAAATACCGCCGCCATAAATTGAGACATCGGATCGGCGCACAGGTCTAGATTTTATATTATTAATAGATTCATCTAATGAAGGCTTACATAATGTCGAGAATCTAATTAAATTAAAATTATTTATTTTAATCAGAGTTGTTAAGTAGCTGGATCTTTTTTGTTATTGATTGATAGGTAATAGCGCGCTAGATAGCAGACAAAAAGGCCATAATTAGAACCATAAAAACTTCCCTTTTTATGTATTATATATTATGTTATGCATTTGCATTATAAACAAAAAATAAAACAAATTTATTTATAATTATTTTTTATAAAAATATTAATAGGTAACCAAAGATATTTTAAAAAAAATACTAGCTAATAGCGTGCTATATTTTTTTGATGCAGCGATAGCGGTAGCGCGCTACTTATAAAAATATGGTTTAACAGCTCTGATAATTTGGTATTTTTATTGAATTAACACACATAAAATATTTGTAAAAATTATGAATGATTATTTAAAAAATATATACTTGTCGCCGTACTAACTCAATACATCTTCTGGCATATAGAACATTTCCTATGTGTCTTTTTTGGAGTATGGTAGAAATAATTCATAATATTAAAAATATCAGAACTATTCACGGAATCATCCCCATTCATTTCCAACATTGAACTACACCTAAATGACTCAGTAGAAGTCTATATAAAATTAATAATTATTTTAAAAAATAATTCGGGCCGGGTCTATTTTGAAAAATTTGGCTCGTCGAAGGGTATTCGGAAATAAAAAAAATAATTATCGGGAAAAAATTACCATATAAAATTATTCCCCGGAAATAAATTCCCCATTTTTTAGATTTTAAAATAGAAGGACACAAATGAAAATATGAATATGAAAGCTAGGGCGTTCCCTCCATGCGACGCGCAGGGTGTAGACCTCCATCCTGTGAAAAATAAAGTAAAGGTCAAAGCAAAGAAGACAAGACTGGCAAGTTTGAATATTGGGACGCTTAAAGGTAAGACGAGAGAATTGGCATCAATGTTGAACAAGAGAAAAGTTGATATAGCGTGTATACAAGAGACGAAATGGAAAGGACAGAAAACTTTGATGATTGGAGATGGGTATAAATTGTACTATAATGGACTTGTTAGCAATAGGAACGGTGTCGGCATCATCCTCAGCCAAGACCTAACCTCTTCAGTAGTAGAAGTCAACAGGATCTCTGATAGACTAATGAAGATAAAACTCTGCATTGGTCAATCAATACTACACATCCTATCAGTATATGCTCCTCAAACGGGTTGCAAGGAAGAAGAGAAAGATGACTTTAGAGCTATCCTTGATGAAGCTGTAATGGAAATCCCTAAGGATGACCTAGTCATAATTGGTGGTGACTTAAATGCGCATGTGGGGAAAGCAAGAGATAGCTACAAAAGGCATCATGGTGGTTTTGGATACGGAGAAAGAAATGATGAAGGAGAGCACGTACTGAAATTTGAAATAAACTCAAGCTACCCTCTGAGCCGACTAAGCGAGCCGACTCATGCGGCTCCTTGATCGGCTTGAGAGCCGTTTTTTACGACTACGACTCGAGTCTCAAGTCGTAAGAACTCAACTTTTTAACAACACTATAAGGTAATATTTATAAAGTAAAAGTATATATTGAGCAATCAGCTTGTTAAATTGAGCATACAAATTTTAAGCTTAAGCAAAATTTAGCAAAAAGTCATGCGAAAAAATCCCTAATTATGGCTGAAAAATAGTAAAGGCGGTACAATACGATGTTATTTATTACATTTTTTTTTATATTTAAATTTTTAAAAAACTTAATAATGTGAATTTCAATGATGTGTATATGCTATTAGATTGCATTTCATCCAATGACATATATAACACCTAGACTGACGATTCATTCATTAAAAGTGTACATCAATGCAAATCAGCCGGGGACGCCATCTTGCTTACAGAAATCATTATTAAAATTTTAAACGAGAGCCTAATTTATTCCTATATCTGATGCAAACTTTATTAAAGAATTACCTGATCATCGAGATAATAAGGAAGCAAGTTATCAATTTAATAGTTTTTAACATGAGAATAATTATCATATGGGTTACTAAAATGGCGGGTCCAGCTGATTTGCATTCAACGACGCTTAAAAATGCATTTTAATGAATGAATCGTCAGTCTAGGTATTATATATGTCATTGGTTTCATGCATTAAATATATAATTTTACATAATAGTAGGGCTGTGCCGATCCACATATTTTTCTCCGATATTTTTTCAAACCCTATCCGATATTTATACTGATTTTTCACCCACCCCCCTTTGAACCAAATGTAATTTAGAAATCAATATTTTTATACAAAAAATCCAATTATGCATTTAATTTAATTTTTTTATTTCTACAATTAAAACTATAATTAAAAAAATATATATTTAATAATATATCCATTTTATGTTGTTATGAATTATAAAATTGTAATATTTAATATATAAAATTATAATATATTTGATTTTTAAAAATAAATATGAGAGCCTCTAGATTTTCTTTTCTGGCAATAAGCTTCTACGATATGGACTATCTATATCTCCTGCCGTAATGAAGGCAGACTCAGATGATTCAGCAGATAACGCATTTTGCAAAATTATCTGTCTTTTGTAAAATATTTCATAATTCAGATACCATATTTAAAAAAATTCTTTTATTTAAAGTATAAATAATAAAATTGATTATTTAAAAAGATTTAAAATAATTAAAACTGGGTGTTCCTTTCTATTTTTATAAAAAAAACTTTTAAAATACTATAAATCTATTTTTTTTAAAAAAATATACATAAAAATGGATTTCGATTTTATTAAAAAAATAAATGATTTTAAATATAACTTAAAAAATTTTTGAACATTTTATTTTTGTTAAAGACGCCATTTTATATCGGATCGGAAAATTTTATATATTGGTTGATAACCGATATTTTAAAATGGATGAAATATCGGCCCGATCCGATATAAAATATCGGTACATCCCTAATTATAATTAGTTTAAATCAAGATCATTATTTAATGCCTTCAATATGTCCACCATTAATCATATGTAGAGGCTGTTTTATGGTAAATTCAGTTAATCATGTGCTAAGGCAAGAATGTGAAAGACTCAACACAATAACAATGTAATCTGATGCCTCTTCCTAGAGGCTTGAAATAGGTTGGTTTTTCTCTGTTATAAACAATTGGGGGCATAAATCAGTCGAATATCTTGGCCTTTATGGTTTCGAATATTCATTGCTTTATATTAAAACAAGTAAGTCAAAAATTCGAGAGTAATATGTATAAAAAAAAATTTTGAGATAAGGTAATTACGATAATATATCGAGTATATAATATTTAAGTATAATGCAATTAAATATTGTTGGATGTTTCATTTTGTTTAGATTCCGTCGCGTTTTCTCTGAATTTTTGACATGGCGTTATTGTTTGCTGGGATTCATTACTTGCTGAGGTTTGTTTTTAGCTTCTCTAAAGCTCTTCTGTTTGTATGGACAACTCTTCTGGTCTCCAGGTTTCAGTAGAGGTTCCGATAGTCCAGAGATCAGGGATGGTGTGTTGACAGTTTCGATCTCGAATAGAGAGTGTTGGGCATCCAAATCGTGGTCATTTGTTCGATTTGTGGTTGACTGGTTGGTCAAACAGAGTATAGGCTGCCATGTCTCCTATCCAGTTCTTGATGGCTTGTCTGCCGGGTTTTCTTCAGTGGGGACCCATTGGATATTTTGGCTGACCGCTATGATTGGTAAGCCTAGCTTTCTGAGAATCTGAGTGATCACAATCTCTATAGACGGTGACTGAGCCTTGTAAACATAGTAAGTCATGGTTGAGTGTGAAAATGACCAGAGGAACTCCATGTTTGCTGATGGCGAGGAGTGCTCCCATTCCTACTGCTTGATAGATTATCGATGCCCCAGGAGACGCCGATGTGACTATCTAACGCTTCGGTATAAACAGCATGTTGGCGTTATAGCAGATTATGATCGGTTCTTGGAGCTCGTCAATGATTATCTGGGTTTTTTGGAACTAATTATATATACATTAAAATAAATAAATAAAGAGCCAATCCAGCCATTAAAATAATTTTTAAACATTAGGCGAGCGGGTTAAACAAAATTTATAGATAAATGACCCTGTGGGTGGGTAAATTTTTTAGGAAATACGTGAGCGGGCGAATTAAAAAATTTCAAAGCAAGTGGGCTGGCTTTCGCTAAAACCCTCCCATTGCAGACCGTTACCATCATTTTGGAACTGCTCTTTTATCATTTTAACATAGGCAAAAAACGAATAATAGCTTACATGTTAATACTTATAAATGCTGAAGAGAATTTACCACATATTAGATAAAATTAAAGGTATAATACAAAAAATATTTCTTCATTAAATACAACATCATTAATCACAATTTCACTTCCCGTAGAACGCAATTTCGCTTAGGGAATTCCGTTTTAACTACGAAACGCTTTTGCATATCAGACGAAAATGTTGAAAAACAATTAACAAATTTAATATAAATTTTTTTAATTGACAAAATATTTAAATAATTTATATCTTATTTTAACTCATAGTTATTTCTCATCTATAAATTAGCTAATCATTATAATATAATATTTATTTTAAATTATATTGTTTAATATTTTTATACGCGTTATTAGGCTTTATTTATTATTAAATGAATTTAAAAAATATATTTAAAGATTTTTCGATCGCGCTCACAAATTTGAACGCCTTCCTTTTTTTATATGAACGCTAGCATTTTTAAAAATATGTTTGCAACACTACCTAAAATGCGAGTAATTTTTACAAAATGTATTTCGCTACCTCTAACTCTGACTGACACAATATTAAATTGTTATTTTTCAACCTATGTCCTTATGTTTTATATTCATGCATAGCAATTCGAAGAATTATTATCGGTAGAAAAATTACAACATGTGCCCTTGTTGGTTTATGCCAATAAACAAGATATAAATGGGTCCTCACCAGCTTCAGAAATAGCGCAATTGTTAAAACTGAATCTCATCAGGGACAGGGACTGGCAAATCCAAGCATGTTCGGCCCAAACTGGAGAAGGAATTCAAGTTTTATCCGATATTAGTTTTTTTTTTCCCATAAACCTTTTTTAATACTAAAATTACCAAGAAAATATTTGAAATTCCAAGATTTTAAAAATAAATTACAAATGATTATCTTTTAAAAATCAAACAACCAATCTTGAAATAATCTTCCAAATCAGAGTTTTAAAATATACTTTCCAATTGTATTTAGACACAGATACCTTGTCTAAATGGATCTAGGATATTTCTTCTAGTATTTAGATACAGATGCAATTTTTATTATACTTAAAGGTGTTTATAATGCTTAATTTAGGATTCTATTGTTAAAATTCAAATTTCGAAGTGAGCTAAAAAAATTTATTGAGCTGTTATAACATCTTTGTACAAATATATAATTAAAATAATTATTGTTAAATTTTAAATAATAAAACATTCTCAAAATTTTTATCATTAGTACATCCTCGTTTATCTGTAAAGAAAATTTTTAGTCACTCTATCATTTTTTACTGGGTTATAACAACTTAGTAGTATTGGTAGGTGAATTCCATGACAAATCAACATGAATTCCAAGTCGAGCCCCCTCCCCCCCCCCCCCACCGAGAATTTTTTAAAATATTTACTAGTTTGCATTAGGGTTGGCCAATAAAATTAGTTCCATTTAAATTACTTTTTAAAACATTAAATCACCCCAATTTTTAAAAAAAATCAGTGACTTAAATCAATATTTATATAAAATTTTATTTACTAAATTTGATCAAAATACTTAATATAGGAATGACAAAGACTTAGATTATTTTTAGTGTTGTTATTAATTACTTTTGAAACTTAAATAGTCACAGTTACTAGTTACATTCATAAAAAGGTAACTAGTTATATATTTTTCGATGTAACTAGTTACAGTTATATTTCAAAAGTAACTAATTACATTATAAGTTACTTTATAAATAATTACAATTTACAAATCTTAATCAATGGTAAGAAAATATACAATTTATTTGTATAATAATATAATTACACTGAAAAAAATCCATAGAATAGAATATATTTACACCGAAATTAAATATCAGAATATTATATATATATAGACCTTTGCGCCGACGAAACTATCGGCGGTCGGCGTTAATATGTAATCGGTGGCTGGGCCGATTTTTAGCCGCTGCATCATAGGCAGCTTAAATCGGCGTACCGTTATAAATTTTTATAACATGTTTTTTAATTGCTAATTAATTTTTTAAGAAAAATTAAAATAAAATAATACTACATTATAGATATCTCGGCATTTTTTTTGATCCATATAAAGAAAACTCATAAATTCAAAATCGATTTTTAATTTTATAATCATTATTTAAATTTTCCAGAAATAATGATGATCCTTGAATACATCAACCCAGCGGTAGAGAAAACTCTTTGACTAAGTGTGCTGGTTGCCGGAGCACAGAATATTTTTTTTAGCTAGTATAGAAAAATTAGGAAGTTTGATCCTCTTTTCTCTCCAGAAATTTAGAACATCCATATCTTGTGCGGAAAAGGACATTCTTGTTCTAAATCACTTAAAGTGAAATCATAATTTAAACTTGTTGGATGTTTAGCTAATTTTGTCTAATAATTTAAATTTAATACCTCGTAATTCTCAACCGCTATTTACTATACCCTGATATCATCATTTATACTTTTAAAATGTTTTTTAATAAATTCCGACGCTGAGTAATTTTGTTCTATTATATACTTTGATATAATTTTCAATTTTTGTAATATTGAGTCTAAAAGAGAAGCCAACACCTAGAATTCCTGAAATTAAAAATAAATTAAATAAATGAACATACTATATTATTATATGAAAATCACAAACCGTAAATTGTAACGTCAGTTTTTTTTAGCAAATTTTTCTTTAGGGAAATGATTTTTGAGCTATTTTGGATTTTTGATTGAATTTCTAAAATGATGTCAAAATAATTAGGATGTTAAATTAGGTATAAAACAAGAATTCATCAAAATCCTGATTGACTTAAAAAATTTACAATAGTGATATTGACTAATTATTAAAATAAAAATGCATAAAATATAGAAAATATTTTTAAAAAAAATTTTTTCGCCGGCCGTGCGCCACCCATATGAAAATTGGCTACCCGCTGGCGATATTTTCATCAACGGCGGCATTTTAGGCTTGGCCAAAAATTGGTTAAATATGCACCGATTATTTTTATAAAAATTCGGGCTTGGTAAATTTTTATTTACTTTTAATAATGAACTATTTTAATAATTTCTGTCTAGAAGGCGCGCTAGTTTCTCTTTAAAAATAGGCCTCCCTAAAGTGAGAAGGATAACATTATATTTATAATATGGCCCAGTTTATTTTGTATATTCTACAAAGGTTGGCATTTTCATATGGCAATATTATATGTTTTCTTATGTTGCTACTAAATATAATGTATGACATGAAATTCCCTGTGAAAGTAGTTAAAATAATTTTAATTAATTTAGTTCAATTTATTAATAATTTTATATAATATTTAGTTTGAATCTAGGAAAATAATTCCCAGGAAAAAAAATCCCCGGAAAATAAATTCCTTGGAAAAAAAATCCCCGGGAAAAAAATTCCCCGGAAGATTACTCCCCGGAAAAAATATTTCCAGGAAAATAATTCCCTGGAAAAAAATTCCCTTAAAAAATAATTCCCCGGAAAAAAAAATTCATAGAAAATAATTACCCGGAAAAAAATTCCCCATTTTTTAAATTCTATAAAATATTAAATTATTTTTATAAAATTAACAATATAGGAAAAAATATCCCCGGAAAAAAAATCCCTATAAAATATTTTTTGAAAAAATCGTCAAAAATTCCTGTAAAATTTTTCCAAATAAAAATTTTCAAAATAAAATAGTTCTTGTGATTAATATTAAACCTAACAAAACTTAAATTATTAAATAATACTAATAAATATAATGTATAATGTTATGGACTTATCCCGAGCCCAGGTTTAGTGAAAACTAAACAAAGCAATATTTATAAAATAAACAAATTGGATACCTAGTCTCTCTGATATTATGCAAAATATTATGGCCAGCTTAGATTTTTTATTTTGGTCCGGATTTATAAATTCAAAAATTACCTAGTCTCTGTAATATTAAGCTAAATATTATTATAAGTAAGTAATGATAATGGCCAGCTCTGATTTTTTATTTTGGCCCGGCATCAATTCATATCATTTTTTGACCCGGATCTGCTCTGCACTATTTATTTAAATAGAAATGTTTTTTAAAGTCAAATTCCTTCGAGGATTTGAGGTTTTAAATAATGAAACGAAAGTTAAATAAATCTAGTTCACCTTTACACATTTTCATCAACTTTTAGATATTTATTGAAAATCAAATTTTTACTTTAAAAAAAAAGATTATTTTTACACAAATTTTAAACATTTTTTTAGAAATATATTAAAAATTTAAATATCAGTTGGAGATAAGAGGCTTTTCACAATTTACTAACTCTTAAATAGCGCCCTTTTTTGTTTTTATAAAGATAAGCTATTAAATAATATAATTATAAATTCTGTGGCGAAATAGGAAATTTGCAATTCAATCTGATCCCCTCTATTTGATATAAATTATTTTACTGAAGTATTTACCTACTTTAAGAACTTAACTGACTAAATACAAAATCAATATAAAACTTGCAAAATTATATTTTTTAATGCCCAATTTTAATTAAATACCGCCAAAAGTAATGAAAAATGCTGACCATTTTAATCATACATCCAGAGGTGATTATCAGCAGTGAGTATTATAATTTTCGAATCTAACAATTATTATTTTGCTTATGAATTTTTTTTAAAATTTACAGAAAAGAAATAATTATAATTTATTAAATGATATATGGAATAATAAATTATATTATTCAAATGAAACAATTCAAGAACGTATATGTTCTCCAATTGAAGAGAGAAAATTAGGCAAGTCCCTTCTCTTCTAAAAAATCAATACATAAATTTTTTTAAATATTTTGTTTCGTTTCATAACTACGATTTTTTTGGGAGTGTATGTCCCAATACTCCATTGGCCGATTTTGCCATGTCAACGGCTATTTCCATCCTCATTTTTTCGATTTTCGATATCTTAGGTTGTTTGTGCCCTATAATATGCTGAAATCGATTATTCCATCCTTCACACATTATTTGTTCGATTTTCCCCAGCAATCGTAACGTTGAACACATTCCATGTTTTAAGTGGGAGCAATGGCTCTACTTGCTTTTGAGTGTTTCTCCCATATCTCAATTCTCCATTCACATAATTTTTATCAAAATAAATCAATAATTCTTTGTTTTCATCCGATACAATGGTTTTTAAATACTCCATACTTCGTTTGACATCATGTATAGGTAAGAATGCTAATCCATCGATCATAGCTGCAAATAAACATAACGTTGGATCATTCCGATTTGATGATTCTAACCCCAATTCTTGAATCTTCCTATGAGTCGATTGAATAGTCATTTTCATTGTAATATTTCAAAATAACCCGGCATTTTTCAGCATTATATAATGTACATTTATATCTTAAAATTTTTCGTAGTTTTATGATAATTTTAGGAATAGCCCTCATGAAAAATTTTAGCCTGCTTATTTACCGGAAGAATAAACATAAAAAATTTATTAAAATTATCAAAAATGTTTAAAATAGTAAAGAAAATTTTATAAAAAGTAATAAAAAAACTAAAGAAAATCGTTTGTTTCAAAGAATATACCACCTAAATATATAAATTTATTTATTCTTGAGCATAACTTTCCTTTCAACGTTATAAATAATAATAATATCAGGGAACTAATTGGGATTATGTAATAACATTTCCGGAGTTGGAAACTTTCAAATAAAAAAAATTTCTATTTTAAGATTATAGTCCCTTTGTGTTTTCTTTGATGAATTAAATATATTAAAAATTATAATATTTTTAAAAATAAACAAATATTATTTAGAATAAATAGTATATTTTTTGGTAACGTTTAATTACTTGAGATAATCTTTGAATTAAA